AGAAATCATTTGGGGTCTGTTCTTCCTTGCCCAACTTGAGCTTCTAGAAGTCAGGGATCATATTTTATACTCATTCTTACATCTCCATTTTAATTTTTTTAAAAAAGGAACACTTTTTTCACTTCCCCATCCTGGAGTTGCATATATATCTTAAAAAGAATGTCTTATCTAGAGAAAAGCTCCACTGCAACAATGGAGGAGTGTATTGCATTTAGGTTTAGAATTGAAAATGAAAATACCACAAGGATACATAAGAAATTCCTGAAAAAACCAATAGGATAGTACTAGAATATAGATTTAGAAAACAGCATTATTAGTAAATCAGGATAAATAAACACAAAACTTGATGTGGCAATTTGAAATTGCTGAAAACGGTATACTTTTAATTCAGTCAAAAATTATAAACAGCATCTGTCTGGAAAGTATCCAGCCATGCGATATGAAAAATAAAGGTATTTCTTGAAGAAGATACAAAGAAACATTGTACATAGGACAATGGCAACACAGTCCCCTTCAACGTAGGCACCTTGGGACCTCACACAGTTCTCCAATTGCCACCAGCTGTTCTGCTGTATTTTTCTGAATCTCATCAATTGTCCAAAATCTTTTCCCTTTGAAAGGTCATTTCAGTTTTGGGAAAAGCCAGAAGTCAAAGGGCACCAAATTTGGGCTATGCTGGGGCTGAATCACCTGGGTGATTTGCTGTTTCACCGAATGATGCATGAATGGATGTGCTGTCATGATGAAGCTGCCAATTACCACCATTTACCCATAGCTGTGGCCTTCTGAACCACCCCAATAGTTTTATGGAGGAATGCTCAAGGTTCGCAAAATTTGATGCAAGACGCATTGCTCTACTGTCATTTTGAATGCGATGGACATAGTACACATGCTTGCTCAATGGCATCTACTGCCACCACTGACGAGTACAGTGAAGTCATCATTGTTCACGCATGTCCATTCCGGTCTACTCTCCTTGGCTGCCAAGTTACATCAATGTTGCACAAATCATTCTTGTTATATTAACAATGGTTGGACTTTTCCCAGACAGATTATAGTGTGTATGTGTACATATATACATATTCACGCATGTGCATTCTAGTCTACTCTCCTTGGCTGCCAGGTTACATCAACTTTGTGCAAATCACTCTTGTTATATTAACAATAGTTGGACTTTCCCCAGACAGATTACATACACACACACACACACACACGTATGTGTACATATATATACATATGAAAATATGTACATATACATATACTTTCCAGTACAAAGTCTGGCTTGCTGTATAGCTTGTTAGCTTTTTAGAACCTATCTAATTGAATTACTGTGGGAAGAAAAAAAAATTTAATAGCAATCAATAAACTAATCAAGCATATAGCCATTTATGTCATGCAAAGAGCTTGTACTTTCCTCTTCAGGAGAACACTGGACTAATTAAAGTGGTGAGCTTTTATAAGAATGAATAAACTACATTTTAGGTACATAGCACATTTTATTTACCCATTCTTCTCTCAGTGGACACGAGTTGCTTCCACCTTTTGGCTCTTGCTAATATCCTACTATCAATATGATTGTACAAATATCTCTTAAGAGTTTCTGCTTTCAATTCTTTCGAATATATATTCAGAAGTGGAATTGCTGGACCACAATATTTCTATTTTTATTTTTGAGAAATCTCCATACTGTTTTCCATAGTAGCCACACCATGTTACATGTCCACCAATAGTGTATGAGAGTTGCAATTTTTCCACATCCTCACCAATATGTTATTTTGTTTAATTTTAATAGTCATCCTAATGTGTGTGATGTGGTATCACCCCAAAATTCTATTTCTTTTCAAGACTATGTCTAATGAGTAAATTTTTAATAAAAACTGACTTTCCAAGAGTCTATAAGTGATTTCAAAATATGGGTAAAATGTAAACCTATTTGAATAATTTCTCGTATTATTTTAATAAAACAGATTTTGGGTTTTACTTGATCTGTGTTTTTCTTTCACTAACTTAAAATTTATATAAAGATAGATAAAATATTCATCTTACTATTATGGGAGCACAGTATAATCAGCTACTTTATGACAATAGGGTATAAAGAAGTATACTACTTATATACTTTTAGTCAGGTTGCTATTATGATAGGTCATCCAAATAAGGTAAAATAGTGAATTTTCTATGTTTCAATTTGAGTTTCCATGAATTTTTATTTATTTAATAGTATTTTCTTTGCCGGTGTAAACCAAAATTCATATGCTAGAAAGAGTTAACACATTTTTACTAACAGTACTATTAGTTCGTTTTAAGTAGAGAATTAAAACATCTCCAGAAAAGACCTGATGAGAAATTAAGAGCTAAAAAATGATGGAAGAAAATGGTGCTCAATATTTTACACTAATTAAACTGAGTCTTATTTCAAGGATAATATTAAAAGACATTTTATACATACAAGAACAGTCTGACAAATTACACCTAGAGAGTTCATGGCTGGTCATGTTTATGAAAGATGACATTATTCTGGCCCATCTGCCACACCTCAGATTATTTGCTGCCAGCTCAAAAAGTTAACAAAGCATTCAACTCCTAAATGTTGGAAAAATAATATATCTTAAAAGTATCTACAAGGAAAGTGTCAATGCCTTCCAGCCAAAGACCACCAAAAACACACCTGTAGTTGAACAAGTTGAGTTTGTTACTAGTTAGAATGAGGGGAACACATGTCATGGGGACCAGTGGGGCAACTGAGTAAGAGGGTATCAGAAAGAACCTGTGATAACATCTGAGATTTGCTGGGAGGCCCTAAGGGAGCAGAGGTTTATTCGGATTGGACACTGTTAGAAAATGGGGGCAATTCTATGACTGGGAAGAAAAAAAAAAGCAGCTGTCTCTCATGATAGGCAGATGATGATGTGTGACATTTTGTGACTTCACAATGCCCTTCTTTTTGTCTGTGGCCTAGCTGTCACAACAGTTCCCATATATAAGGCACTACTTCCTTTCTCAAAAAGAACATTCAATCGATAATGGAAAAATTATTCCTGAGTACAAATTAATAATTTTTTCAAAAAAGATGAACCTGTCCTGGAGAATGCTTAGTATGCTAATTTAATACTCAATCACTAATAACCAAAGACAGATTCCTGAATAAAATGGATCCAGTGAGACAGTAATTTATTTATTTTCCAATATTAGAGTCTAACTAAAAATGCTCTGGGGTACGTGAACAATTCTCCAATAAATAACTCAAACAGTATAGTCTTGTATTTAAGGAAAAATATAACCTTGGCATGATCACGATGTAAGAATATCACTTTTCAGCCAAGGAGCTCAAATATCATGGGAAAGAATTACCAAGGTCCATGATGCTTGTCTGTAATTATCTTTTGTTGAGTAAATAAAAGGAAATCTCCCATTGCTCCTAAGCTTTCCTGATTGTGTTGAGACATTTAGCTTTATACATTTTACTGAAAGACCTATGTAGAAAAGAGTTTCTAAGGGAAAATGATGAAAGACACTAAGTATAGGGGCTGAAAGTACTCAAAGAAGTTGTTTCGCTTCTGCACGCTCTTTTACTCACCACTCACTTTAATACACTCACAACATAAACCAAAGTCCCCTAGCTATAACACTAAAAACTCATGGTAGTTCTAGGAATAGCCTCAGTGGTTAATTAATCCATTTAGTTAGATCAGAGATAAATACAAAAGTTACTGAACTGCATTAAGCACATAAAACATAGTAAATAAATATTACATTCTCCTACATAATAAAAAAGTAAGGTCTTTCACTGAAAGATATCCAGAAAATCCAGAAAGTCATACAAATAAAAGACTAAATGAACAAGATTATACAGTGGAAAGAAAATCAAGTATGTAATATATCTTAAAGTGATCATATATTTCATTATTTCAACTAAAAACTAAGTTTCTTTCTCCTTATTTTATTTTATTTTTTAACCAATGGAGAAATGATTGGTCAAAATCAAAACAAAGCTGCTTTTACATCCTACCAATAAAAACTGTTGATAGGCTCTTTTCCCGTGTATAAGCAGCTTACAGCTTGTAAACACGGGTTAATTTGAAAGCCTAATTGGTTTTTAGACCAAGTAAAGACAGGTCTGTCTAAAAGCAAACAAATAAACACCTAGTGTTCCTGAATTTTACACTTCAAGAATTGATAAGGCAGCATTATGATTTGCTTTAAATAACAACACTGGGAACATTCAGACTTAATTGTATCACATTACTGGACAATGGCAAATCTATCAGTAAAGTAAGATGATAAAAGTCTTGAAATATTTTCAACACAGCTTCATAGGAAGAAAGCCAATTTAGTAATAGAAGTAGGTCAGAAAACCATTTGTTTTGAGGGAAAACTCTATTGGAAGGCGGTCATTTTGTAAAAGTCTTTCTGCAATCTATGTAGCTTCCTAAGGACTTCGTTCACTTTGTTCTCTATGTGAAAAATTTTTAGGTCATCCCCACCCTATTTCCATCTCTTTTAATTAAGTTTATAAAAATTTTTTGCAATCATTCATTTTTTTAAGTCTTCTTTGGCCCTGTGAACTGGGCACCAATTTTGTAACATATACACATTTATTTCTCCTGTGGGGCTTTCTGTACATCATCTTCTTACTTTTTTCCATCCCAAACAATATACCAATCTCCTTTCTGCTCCTACAGCATGTAGCACATTGAAAAAAATTTTCTACTTCACATTTTCAAATGTTTCTTAGGGGGGACTATCTTTATTTTCATTCTTTGGCCAAATCATGTTGAAAAATATCATCTTAACTTTTGTTTAACCATTTTTCTCTGAAAAGTATCACTTAAGGACCTAAAGTGAAAAATATTTGAAATAATCGTTTCCATTCTCTTTTCTTTCAGAAACAAAATATATATACTATCACATTCAGTACCATTCCTTTGTTCTGGGGGAAAAAAAGTAATCAAGTAAAACATACGTGTGTGTGCATATATAGACATGGACATGGCTGTACGATCATGGCTATTTTCTTCTCCCGGAGACCGGTCCAAAACCTGCCAGGATTCAAAGTATCACCTACAGTATTTAAGCGTGGCATTTGGCCCAAGCCATCCTTTAACTAATGGAGAGGACAAGTGGCAGTCACATGAGAGCTGTGATTAGGGTAGTGAATACATATAGGGGAACATGAAAGGATCCAAGAGCCTGCTATGAAGCGCTAGTCCTTCAAGCTGTCAGATGCTCCCTAATTAAGAAATAAAATATTGAGACAAACATCAATAAAAATATAACCTCAAGAGAAAGGCATGAGTAAAATCACAAACTTTTGGTATAGTAGTACTAATCATAAAGCATTAAAATAATGCTTCCACTTTTAATTGAGTTTCTCTTCTGTATTCTTAGCTAGCCTCTTTTATAAACCATCATTAATATTTCTATTTGGCATGTTTTTATTTTACAAAGAGTATAGGCAAGTGGTTATTTTATTTTCCTACATTACGTTTTAAAAATAAAAGAAGACCTATTTTGCAAACAAGTTCAAAAAATTTGTTGCTCTTCTGGGGAAAAGGATATTCTGCATGTCTGTTATTGCCACTGGCATTCTAATAACTTCTTAAAAACAAGAGCCATTTTTATGTCCTGTCATAAGCAATATATCATTCACTTTCAGTGCAATGGAGGGTAATAGAATAATAGAAAAACAACATATGGAAAGCTTAGAACATCAATAGAGAAAAAAAGATTCTTTTTCACTCACCTGGGGCCTCTTTCCAAACATTGAAGCCAAATACATATAGCTAGAATTATAAAGAGCAATGAATTTTTCCCCACAAAGAAAAAAATCAGAGGAAGAGAACATAAATAAAAACCAATACACAGAAGGTTATCCTCTTCAGAAAGAGAAAATATGATACAAACTGGAGTAAATAAAGTTGATCATCTTCAAATCAATGGGCAGCCTATTTGTAAAGCATTCCTTACCTAGCACTGATTTCCTGTCTAATTAATCTCCTAAAAACTAATTCTAAAAATCCCCACATCTAAGAAAATATTCATAGTCATTTCAGATCATTACACAGTCTCCACTTTCATTGAAAAAGACTTGAGCAGGCCTATGATTCACTGTGCTCGTCTCTATGCCCAGTCAGGCTGTCAGTTCAGGTGATCTTCGGCGTCCACTGCAAAAGCTGAGGATGATGATCAAATGCACAATTTTAAGAGACTCTAAATTACTGACACTCTAAGTAAGCCTCATCCTTTCCCTGAGAAGGGAAAACACTGCCCACCTCCCTATCACAGTCAGATGCATAAAGCTAAGAAGGCTAATCTGATTTAAAAGCTTCCTGGGAACTAGTTAGTACCTACCTAAGGTCCACTAACATAATGTATCCTCAAAAAAGGAAGTGAATACATGCTTACCCAAAGTGGAACACTCAGTTTGTTGTGTCCTTGAGTAAAGGAAAAGAACAAAAAGGGTACAGATATCACACGTTTCAAAAACAATCAACAAATTTAATACCCAAGAGAACAAGATAGAAAACAAGCAGAGTTAACAATTATAATAACGTCCATAAGATGCTGCTCTGATCTAAAAAAAGGTAAGGGAACATTGACTTTCATTCACAGAAAAGAAACAAGTATTTAATTTGAGGCAATAATAAATAAAAAAGAACAGCAATGCAATGAGAAATAAAATGTGAAGAAAAAAGAAAGGATTGAGCTTTTCTTAAAAACAAATTTAAAAAAGAGACTATGTGAGGCTGAAAAGTAGAAATAGTAATTTATTGACCTATTATTTTACATTTTCCCCAGAGTAATAACTCTAAAAAATTTTTATTTGAAATTATTTCAAAAAGAAAATTTGCAAAATCAGTAGAGAACCCCTGTATACTCTTTGCCCAAACTTACCAATTTGTATTAAATACTTTGCCCATGTGCCTATATCCTCTGACCCTCACCTCTCTATGTATTTATGTATTTTTGATTAATAATTGTTCTGAATCATTTCAGAAAGTTACAATACATTGTTTCTCTTTGCCTTTCATTATTTTCGTGTCAATTTCTAAAACACAAGGGTATTTTCTTATGTATGTACTGTACAGTAATTAAATTCAGGAAATTTAACATTGGTACTTTTACCTAACAAAGAGTAAATGTTTCATTTTTGCTATGTTTTAATAATATCCTTTATAGCATTTTCCCTCTCCAGTCTAGGATCATAGATTTTGCATTTAGTTGCCATGTCTCTAATCTTTAATTTGGAATGCTTCCTAAGCAATTTTCTTTCAAGACACTGATATTTTTGAAAAAATACAGGACAATTATTTTGTTGAATGTGCTTAAACTTGTATGTATCTTCTGTTTCCTCGTGAGACTGAGTTATGTATTCCTGGCCAGACTATGACATAAGAGATGCTGTGCCCTTCTCAGGCAGTAGACCTGCTGGCACATAGTGTTCATTTGACTTTCACTGGTAATGTTAATTTTGCCTCCCCAATAAAGGTATTGTCAGATTTCACCACAATAATTACTGTTTTTTCCAAATAATCAATCTATGGAGAAATACGCTGAGAACCATGCAAATATATCGCTCCTGACAGTATTTGGTCCTTGAGATTGAGCATTCACTAATGCTTGCCTTAACCAGTCTTCACTATCATGGTGATTTTCCAACTCCAATAGCCTCTCCACATTTATCAGTGGCCATTCTACAGAAGAAAGCTCCCATTCCCTCCTTCCTTCCTTCCTTCCTTCATCATCACTGCATGAACATATATATTCCTATTTTATCTAATGGGTTTACTCAGCATTACTATCATTATTTATTTTGATAGTCAAAGTGTCCCAGATTTGGTCAGTGGGGTCACCTCCAAGCTAGCTCCAGTGCCCTTCTGACATGACTCCATTACATTACTGAGCTCTTCCTTACTTTCTAGCTCAAGATAGTTCAGGCTCCTCTTATACCTTTCCTGTCCTAGTCCTGATATCAGTCAGTTCTTCCCCTAAGATTTCTTTTAATAGCCTGTAGAGGAATAATGCACAGAAACCAAGATCTGGGAGCCAGGAATGCCTCATTGTTACCGGGGGTTCAAGTGGGGAGGGGGGTGAGAGGACCGCTGCTTCTCAGCCTTTTCTGCAGCAGACCTAGGAGATTTCCCACCCCACCCCACCCCCACCCTGGATTCTGGTATCTACAACTTCAACCCAACTCCATAAGGTTTTCTTCTATTCCACATTTGTATATTTCTTATTCTAGAGTAAGACCCTTGGTTCCCAACACATTTATTCAATTTTACAATATACATAGAATAGTTTCAGAATTACTACACTATAGCACTGCAAAACGGATGGACAAAAAGAATTTAAAGTTTCTGTGAAATTGTCCCTTTCTTCCCATTCTACACTTAGTTATAAATTTAAAGTATTATATTCAAAAGTTACTTGGATTCGTTCTGTATTTCCTTCAACGTGGTTATTTATTCTTCTTTTTCCCCACTGAGATAAAAACCTTTTATTGAAAAATAAAAGCAAAATTTACCTTATATAACATATTAATTCCAGCTTAACTTATTAAACTCTTAATGCAGTTTAGTTATTTGTTCCCTTAGAGGCAAGACAGCAAACTCACTATTTCCAGAAATAAATGAAGAAACCCAACAGCTGAAATTTTGAGAAAGCAGTTTGTAGACATCTACAACTAAATGCAGGCTTGAGACAGACAAGGAGATTCTTAGAAAAGCTTTCCCTGTTACACCTTTACATACATTCAAACTTAGAGACTGAAATTAATGTTTCACAGAAATTCTAGAATAACTATATAAGGAAACTTTAAGCAAAAGCTCAAAAATACTGTCAATTCTGAAAGTCTTAAGTATTTGTCACCCAACAGCGCGAATCATTTACATATCATTGCCTGTGGTAGCTACGTGGAAACACATGGCCTTGAAGAAACATACTTGTGTTTCCCACAGCAAAACATGTCAGAATTTGGTATTCTCTGCACCCTTGGGGGGTGGCTGTTTGCAAGAGGACGCTGTCCCTTTCTGTGAGGAGAGCTGTGGTGATGAAGACACAGTGCTGTGTGTGACAGCTAACTGCAGGTCACAATGGACAGCAAAAACTTAAAGGCAACCTGTGAGGGGCTGCAGCTGAGACCGTGGAGGAGGTTCGGGAAGAACGTGCAGTGGTCTTAATGAAAGTCAGACACGGGTAGCAACACGAAACTATGGCAGGGCAGCGCCCAGAGCAGCCACGTGCTGCCCATGTTCCACGGCTCCACAGGGAAGCTGCAGCGACAGCTGCGCAAGGGCGAGTTTGCCATGTTCAGGCACAGTCCCATGTTTGAGAGTGACTTCATCCAGATCAGCAAAAGAGGAGAAGTTATCGATGTGCACAACAGTGTGCAAATGGTCACTCTGGGCATCGCATACAGCAGTCCCAACCTCGTGATACCTGATGTCATGCTGCTGGCACGGCCAGCTGCCAGTTGTGCAGTCGATGGCAAACATGACCAACACACCCAGGGAAGCGGACTCAAGTCAGCCAAGAGCTTGGAGCTGACCAGGCTGCTTCCTTTGAAGTTTGTAAAGTTGTCTGTCTACAGCCATGAGAACAAACAGCTCCACTTGAAGCTGGCCACTGGCCTCTCTTTCTACCTACAATTATGCCCCGCTTCAGATGCAAAAGATCTGTTTGCACACTGGGAAGACCTGGTGTTCTCCCTGCAACCGCCAGTGGAGGCTTACAGCAGCACCCACGCTGTACCCGCTTGTGACGGGATGGACCTACCTGTGCTGGAGGCAGAGGACAGGAAGAGCCCAATGGTAAGTACATGCAAAGGCTCTCAGAGGGGCAGCCTGAGAGCTCTGGGAGGGCAACCGAAGACTTTCTGGCTGGCCTCCTTGGCTCACAGGGAAACACAGCATGAGGAAGGGCTCAGGCCAGACGAGCCACTACGTGGAGCCCTTGACACTGGGGAGGTCCCGAGTGCCTCTAAGTGTCTGATATCCCTTAGATGTCAGCTCCTCTGACCCCATACCTGATGTAGAGCTGTCACCAGCATCCTGACCATCCAGTCTGTCCTGGAACACTGACATGCTACTATGGACTCCGGCAGTCTGATCTGCGTGGGACATTTTTAACTATGGGAACGCCCTTCCTCTCTTTGAGCCATGAGCTGATTTTTGTATGAACCTGCAGTGCTGCAGCATGCTCTGCACCCAGGTGCACAACTGGCAGCAGCTGTCAGGATGTAAATCAGACATGCTTTTCACACACAGCCTCCCTTCAGGAGTCTGTTGTGTGGAAGCGCTGAGGCGCGTGCCTTCATGCAGGTGTAGGGGTGCTCCCTGGTGAAGCATGCTCGCTCTCCCCGCCCTGGAACCACCCCAGCAACGCTGCAGTGACCCTGGGGGGTGCCGCAGGCAGGTTTCTGCCTCCATTGGGAGACTGCACTTGGTGACTTTAAAGGCTCTTCTATCGATAAGCTCTTGAAGACAGGTGACCTTTCTAATCTCACTTACTTTCTTCTCTACTTCCCTGTGTCTCCTCTCTCCACAGGCCATGGAGAGCCATGGAGAAGGTGACCAAGACCAAGTCAGCATTAGAAGCCTTCCCATGGTCACTGAGGTGTCTGGGGCCACCTCTCTTGCTTATGCTGGCGGGGAAGAAGTCCAAGAACATGCTTCAGACAAATACTCTGTGCCCAGGATCACACTGTCTTTCCTAACCCCGGCACCGGCAGGGCCTGACCAAGGGGCAGAGCCAGGAGCAGCAGCAGCAACCCCCCAGGGCAGTGTGAGTGAGGGCGCAGGAGGCAAGGTGCCCAGCAGCCCTGTTACGGAGACCATGGAAAGTCCAGGAGCTGAGCCCTTCGTCTCAGCTTGGCCGAGTGAAGACAATGTGAGTGAACAGACTGGAGCCCAGAAATTCTCCCAATGCCAGGCTGAAGCCCTTAGAAAGGGAAAGAAAAAGAAGAAAACTCCCACCAAAAGGCCCTCCCATTCTAGTAGGAAGCAAGAGGACAGGTCAATCCCAAGATCCCATGGAACCACTCAGGGAGAGCAAAAGGACAAGGACCAGAGCAGCCTGGAGGGCCAAGGACATGGCTCCTCTCCTCAGGAATACAGGAGCCTCAATGTCACCCAAAAGGGGTCTAGGTTATCTCAAAAATCGGTAGGAGCTGATTCAGAGTGAGTTCTGCAGGTGGGGGCATATCCAGAGATCCGTCCCTCATCCCTCCCCCTGCTGCTGAAGATCTCCCGAGTCTAGGAGGGAACACTTGCCATTCACAGAACTTGTGGATAGCGACTAGGATGAGTCTCCAATGTTACGATCCACCCACCCATTTCAAGATGGGGAAACAATGCCTGTTATATGCTTTAAAAATAAAGAATTTATAAATTGGTCTGATATGGCCTCAAAGAAATTCCAATTTGGCTCCCTTCTGTCTATCCAAGTTGAAGTGGACATTGATTCATTGTTTATGCTTGGCTTATTTGGACAAGAGCGTCAAGATGCACAAAGAGTTTGGTGTGTCCAGAGCTACCACTATGCATCAGATTGCCTGTATGTTGAGCTTGCCAGTGTATGACAAGTGACTATGCCTGAAGTGCTACATACTGCGAGCCTATAATAATTTGTGTCCAGAGAGTTCAGTGGGTTTGGAACGGCCCATTTGTCTACAGTACTTGCTTTTTTTTCCAAAATGGTGCTTGTCTGACACAACTGTGTGTTTGAAGGAGTAAATCTGTCTTGGTTATTAATATGTATAGACTGGTAAGATTTGTTTGGGTATATTTTGGTGTTGGCCATACTACTGCATTTACCACTGCTTCCCACATTCCAAGAAGTTTTGACCATGGCCCATTCTTCTAGCTGATAATGTGACCCAAAGCAAAGGTGGTAGTGAGTGGTGGGATCCAGTCTGTCAATGCTCCAATGTGAGCCCTGGCACAGATGGGATCCCTGAACAGGCCATAGGAAGCATCCCAGCTACATTAAGATGGGGAGTCAGTCCATCGTTACCTGTCACAACTATGCCCCACTTGCCACAATTCCGAGTCATATACTCAGTATTCCCATAAAAAAAGACGGATACTAATTCTGCCCCCGAGAGTCTCATATTCTAAACTCTCATCCTCTCACTGCACCTCTACCCCAGGCTGGAGGCTTCCACACAACTGTCATTCCAAAGGCCCCCTCCTACCTTTGTACCTCCAAATAGTGAGGGCTTATATGAGGCTGAAAAACAGGATTATCCAGAGGGAATGTAGACACCAGCATTAGTTAAATTGAGCTTAACCCCAGGGTTTCCCATTCAAAGGCCGTTTTGACCAGGAAAGCAACATTTAACCTCTCTGAACTCTAGGGATGATGACGACGACGACGACGATGATGATGATGATGATGATGATGATACCACAACCTAACCAACAGGGTGTTGTAAAGATTCAATTAATCTCAAATTCAATTCAGTTAGTCACCTTAGGTGCCTAAGTGGAAGACAACAGTTATCGAGATCCTTAGGTGCCACCAGGAAGACAACTGGAGAATTGGGGTTGTTCAGGCACCAGCCCAGTTGGTTTCAGGACACTGTCAGGAGATAGGGTGGTCGCTTAAGAGCGCCACTTGGGTGCTATGGAATGTCAACCAAAGGTCACTGGTACCAATTCAAAAGCCAACAGAAACCCCCAATTTGGTGAAGAAGGAAAAGTTTAGTGCCAAGAACTCAAAAGTATTACAATGTGGCTGGGGAAACAGCATTGCTGTGGAAGAGCTGGGCAGCGCTACAGCCTGGCTGTGAGGCTGCACGGGGCCGGGCCCCTCTTCAGCAGGGCAGCTCTGCCCCGTGATGGTCCGCTCCCAGGCAGCCCTGCGGCCAGGACGCACTCTCTCTTTTTCTAAGTTGAATTTGTTGGGGTGACATTAGTTAATAAAATTATATAGGTTTCAGGGGTATAACCCTGTAATACATCATCTGTACATGTTGTATTGCATGTTTACCACCGCAAGTCAAGTTGCCTCCTATCACCATTTATCTCCCTCTATCCTCTTTCACCTCCTCCCACCCTTCTTTCCTTCTGGTAATCACCATACTGTTGTCTGAGACTTTTTTTACCTTAATCCCTTTACCTTTTCCGTCCAGCCTTCTTACCCCATGTCCTCTGGCAGCTGTCAGTCGGTTCTCTATCTACAAGTCTGTTTCTGTTATGTTCGTCAGTTTATTTTGTTCATTAGCTTCCACACATGAGATCACACGGTATTCGCCCTTCCCTGCCTGGCATATCTTACTCAACAGAGCATTCTCCAGGTTCATCCACGCTGTGCCAAAGGGTAGGATTTCCTTCTGTTGTACAGCTGAGTAGTATCCCATGCAGTCAGGCAGTCCCCCTGCTCCGCTTCACTCTGCTCCAGCGAGACAGCTTCAGCGTTTCAGCTTCAGCCGGGGGAACACAGACTTCGGTCTTCATAGAAAATCTATTTATACTAAATGCAGATGGTTCATTTGTTTCTGTCTGCATTCAAGTTTTAGGGGTTTTCACCCATCCTTGATTTAATTTTATTTTTTGAATATGTAAAATATTAACATACTCTAGAAGTTAAACCTATATTTCTGATCAGCAGGTAGATTTCTAAAAAAGGTATGCCACAAAGATTCCTACTCCAAAAACACATTCTTAACATTTGTACATATACCAAAATAGACCCCATTCTGGGAAATAAAATCAAAATTTTTGTTTTTGTTGAAAAGAATTGAAAACATTAAGAGTGTTGTCCAACTACAATGGAATCAAACTAGAAGGCAATATCAGAAAGGTAATAGAAAAATCTCCAAACACTTAGAATTTAAACATACTTCTACTAAATAATCCATGGGATAAAAAGGAAGCCTCAGACAATTAATAAAAAGAATACATTGAACTAAATGAAAATATAAATATAGAACATAACAAAATTTGTGGAATACAGTTAAAGTAGTACTGAGAGGGAAATTTATAGCATTAAACATATATATTAGAAAAGGAAAAAATCTCAAGTCAATTTTCTAAGTTACCACCTCAAGAACCTAGAGAAAGAGTGAAACAAAGAAGATAATTATAAACATAAAAACAAAAATCTATAATACTGAAAACAGAAAATAAAACAATGAAATAACTGATTCTTTGAAAAAATTGATAAAATTGACAAACTTCTAGGCAACACATAACACAGAAAACACAAATTACCATTAGGAATGAAATGGGTCATATCACTACAGATCTCGCAGACATCAAAAGCTGTCCAACAAAGGAAAACTAACAACTCTACACACAGAAACTGGACAACTTAGACGAAATCAACCAATTCCATTAAAGGCATAAACTATTCAAACTCAAAAACTCAAAAAACACAGGGAGAAATAAATAACCTAATTAGCTCTATTATCTATAAACAAATCGAGTCAATAATAACCTTCCCAAAAAAGAAAGCGCCAGGCCCAGATATTTTCACTGGTGAATTTGACAAAACATTTAAGAAAAAGAAAATCCTCCAGATAATAAAAGATGAGACACTTCCTAACTCATTCTATGGAGCCAGAATTACTCTAACACCAAAATAGATATAGTAGGGAAAACTACAGAACAATATTTGTCCTGATGGAAATGTTTTGTATCTTGGTTGTATCAATGTCAGTATCCTGGCTGTGATACCATATTACCGTTTGGCAAGACGTTACCACTAAGGGAAAATAACACAGAGAGGAAGTACAAGAGTCCTTCTCTGCATTATTTCTTAAAACTGCATATAAATGGACAATTATGGCCAAATAAAATTTTAATAAAAATTTTGAATAGAGCTATTAATCCTTATAATATCGAATCATTCCTGAACTCTAATGTCACATGAGCTATTTTAAGAAAGCAAATATTAACAGTAATTATTATTAGAAAAATTTTAAAAAAACATTTAAAATAGCTATTTGGTTGTAGGTGAAGCTCTAATACAAACGGCAATGAATATGCTACAAGGTTGCTACAGTTCATAGGGAAAAATGACAGCCACTCTCAGGATCGACTCTGATACGTTATTATGCTTCATAAATATGCCATTTTTGATGAATTAAAAAATCATGCTGGTTTTAATGATAAAAGCCTGCTGGCTTTAATTATATAAAAAGGGTGATGGGAAGAGTCTGAAATAGAGTGCTGGGTTGTCGAAACAAAGTATTTCCATTTCCTCCCACTCCATATATCTATCTAATCTATATCTGTATCTGTATTATATATCTGTCTGTAACTCAAGTAAGACAGTATTTGAGCTGTCTCTTACTTATGAATAGTTACAGAAACATTTTGAATCTTACATCTTTCCTTACAGATTCTAAATATTGTTTTATTAATGCTTCAAATGAATGGCATTCAAGCCTACTGACTAGAGACTAACGACTTAAGAATAGCATTCATAAAGTTGGATAAATCAACTTATTACCCAATTAATTAATTTTATAATAATATGATCATAAATCATGCAGATCATATTAATCTAATATTAAAGTTAAATTTTCTTTTTTTTAAAGGAATTATCTTTTAAGCTAAGAAACTAGTAAAACGTTATATTAACAGATTGGATTTAAGTCCTGAATTTATGGGTCAGTCAGATTCTTTAAATGATAAATATCCTTCTAAATAAGTAAGTAAAAAGTCTGATTCTATATCTAGAAGAGCACTAATCCTGGGGCCAAACTGCTTGAGTTCAATTCCCAATACTTTCTTTTAATGACTGTGGCTTTGTAAAAATAACTTAGCTTCTGCAGCTAAAAAAATGGTACAATGATAATATCTATCTCCTAGTGTTCTGCTGAGGATTCAATGCCCTTAGAACAATGCTTAGCTCACAGAGGCACTCAGGCGTTGTCAGTTGTTATTGTTATTATTACTATTAATATGGCTGCTATATTCTACATAAAGATAACTTCCAAAAGAAAGTTTAACTTGCTGTATTACCTAAAAAACAATTCAATAATCACTACCAAGTAGCTGCTAAAAAGAAATTAATTACCTTCAAGTATATCTTTAACTTGTTTATTCAGAATAAAAATAACACTTTAAAATTTAAATTAATGTGAACTAGATGGGTATGATCTTTTAGAAAAGGTACTAGTTCTTTATTTCTCTTCTAAATTATCTTCATATTTTTAAGGTTTAAAAAAATGCTTCAATGACTTTTAATAACAAAATCTTATATTTTTCTACTCATGCCCAAAATTATGACAGATCAAAGCATTAATAAAATTTTCTTAACAATTAGTTAAGGGATTAACACTTTCAATCTGTCTTTAAAAAGGTATTCACACTATTTTATTGCAATGAAAAGTTGTAAATTTCTTGATCTAATACTAAAGAGAATTTTTTTAAAAATCAGGAATTCATCTATCATAAAAATAATAAACTGAGACGAACAAACATATAGCTTTTCTTAAAAACTAAAGTATTTCTTCTTATGGCTTATTTTTTAGGAAGAATGCTGTAGTATTAGGCTTCCTAATAACTTATAAAAATAGTTCCTAAAGTTCAAATTAAGAGCATTAGAAATCTGTCTTTAATCATGTAGGCTGACAGAAAAAGGGTACTACACATGATATGCAATATGTTACACTGTAGTACAGCTAATATGCAAAACAATGCATTAAAAGAATAATGACAAAAAGAAGAGTAAAAACAGGCCCTAGTTTGACATCTGGAAGTCTGATGTATGACAGCTGCAGGAAGTGGGATCTTTTCAGAATTGAAATGTTCTCAAAGGAACTATCCAAGAAATCTGTTGATAAAAGGGTCAGTACCTACCTCACGCATCATACCAATTAAAAACTATTTTTAATGCAAGGTTTTAAGAGGTGTACATGACTATCAGCAATTCAAAACAATTTTTAGGAAACAGAAAACTTAATAGACTACTACAATATAGCATGAGATGTCAAAAAATTACTGGCTAATAAGTATTTGTGGGACCTGGAAAATACGCTGCCTTGTTTTCAGTTATCAGACCTGAGATGTATTTGTTTACTTGGGCATTTATGTACTTGTCTAAGTTCTGGGCAAAATGAAGTAAGCAAGATGGACAGAGGGCCAAATACTTAAGAAGCTTTCATTCCACTGGGGCAAACAAACACAAATCAAAAAATGATCAATTTCAGATATCAATAAACTCTTGAAAAAATAAAGTAAGCTAATGGGATTGAGGACAAGTAGGCATCTCTGAGGAGTAAACCACTGAGTGGAGACTGAAGTTATGGGGCAGTGTTCCGGTTACAGGAAATAGCATCTGTTAATCTAGACACAGAAAGGGCTTCATCTGAATGAGGAACAGCAAGTATCCAGCTGTAGCTAAAGCAAAGAGGTCAAAGACAAATGCAGCAGAAGACAAGCTCAGAGGTATGTAAAGCAGGGGCCAGATCATGGTAGGCTATGGTTAAAAAGTTCGGATTTCATTCTGGAGTAATGAGAATATATTAAAGAGTTTTCTAATCATAGGGCAGATTATGCTTTAGAAAGCCCCCTTTGGCTATAGTGAGAACTGAGTGAAGTATCAGTGGAGGCACAGAGACCAATTATGAGGCTGCTGCTGTCATGAAAGAAAGATGGCTCTGGCCAAATAGCTCATTCCAAACTCCAAGGTTGCCGGTTTGATCCTCAGTCAGGGCACATACAAGAAGCAACCAATGGATACATAAATAAATGGAATAACAAATCTTTCTCTCTCTATTGCTCTCTCCCTCCCTCTCCTAAAAAAAAAAAAAATTTAAAAAACCTCACCATGATGAAGGTATGTACTAGGGCTGAAACAGTGAAGCTGGTAAGAAACAGTGGGTTTGGGGATTTGAAAGTATGGTAGGCCCAAATTACTGGCAGGTTAGATACAATGTGCAAAAAAAAAGAAAGAAATCCTACACTTTGGCTTGAGCAAAAACTTAGTAGTTAAATCTATACAGGCATGTCATATACAGACCCTTCAAGTCATGTAAGTCCTCACTGACCATGTTGAAGCCTTTGGTTTTACCTGAAAAGCAGTAGTAAGCCCTGGAGAAGAAAAAAAGAGGTAGAATTCCAGGTATATTTTGTTGATTTAACACTGACGGCTCAGCAAGCACACACCAGGACCCTCAACACTGCCTTCAGCTTGAGCCACATCTGATTCTTTCTGGAAAGACTAGGAGCCAGCCCATCAATCAGATTAGGATTTCCTCCGAAGTGCAAGGAATCCAGATTAAGCTTATTCCTGAGACACACCTTGGTGCAAATATATCCTTCTTCTCTACTCCTGTACCCCTAAATCTATTAGGAAACTGCTGGGACCAATGATCACAACAACCCTGTGACCATCTAAACTCACCTAGTTTACATCTCTGTCAGCCCTGGTTCTGCTTTGGTCACCTATCCTTTCGCAAACTCTCAGGATCAATCTATTGTTACCTCTTCTCCTGACCCAACTTCCCACTGTCACATGATTAATGAGCACCTCTACATGCTTACCCTCTTCAATAAGCATTCCTTTTGCCAACCACTTTTAACTTCAGTGTGGCTCTCTCAAAATAACACCACAAACATTGCAGCCCCTAAAAAGAGAAGCTCCTCCTTCTCCAAATCCTTTCACGTGCCAGCCAGGAATGGAGAGATATAACGTGTGTGGATGCTAAGACTGAATATGGTAGAGAAGTACAATTCCCAAGGAACTGATAAAAAGACAAATTCATAAAGAAAGCAACCTACCTAAATACTAAACATTAGAGTACTGGCTAAAAAATACCTAAACTATATCCACAGAAGGTTATTAAAGTCATTATAAATCGATGTTGCAGAAGAATACTTAATGCCTTTTAAGAATATTTAGGTAGCTATTAAAAAAAAAAAAGGATTATTAGGGCCCTGGCCAGTGTGGCTCAGTTGGTTTGGAGCATAATCCCATACACCAAAAGGTTGTAGGTTCGATTTCCTGGTCAGGACACATACCTAGGTTGCAGGTTCAGTCCCTGGTCAGGGTGCATACAAGAGGCAACGCAGTAACATTTCTCTCTCACATCGATGCTCTTCTCTCTTTCTCTCCCCCTCCTTTTCCTTTCCCCTCTCTCTAAAGTCAATAAACATGTCCCTGGATGAGGATTTAAAAAATTAAAAAGGCCCTGACCAGTATGGCTCAATTGGCGGGGAACTGTCCCGCAAAGTGAAAGGCTGCTGGTTTGATTCCTGGTCAGGGCGTGCGCCTGCGCTGTGGGCCAGTCCCCATTTGGGATGTGTGCCATGATTCTCTCACATGTTGATGTTCCTCTCCCTTTCCTTCTTCCTTTCCCCTCTTTCTAAAACAAAATAAGTAAATTCTTTTTAAAAAAATTTAAATGATTATTAAGCAATATGTAACATACAAGGTTGATTTGATTCAAAAGAAAGAAGACTATAGAGTATATGTGCTCAGAAAATTATAAACTGTACCAGAATGTTCTCTCTAGGTGGCAGAATTACAAATAATTTTTTATTTCTCACTTTTCCTATTTTCCTTCATTTCCACAGTAAGTGTAACTTATTATAACTGAGGTGAAAAGGCCAAAATAAATAGTAAAAAGCCATAACTGTAACACACCAAAACTACTCTTCAATATAATTTACATAAGACTTCTCATGCCCCCGTTTCCTAAAAAACAATCAAAACCCCTTGTAAGTCCTTTAGTTGACTGCTCAGAACTTCACAGAGTCATTAACAAAAAAACCCCAAACCCTCAAGATTGCTTCTAATCATTTCATTCATTCAACATAACAAGTCAATAAAAAGTTGATCTTGAAAAAATAAAGTAAGCTAATGGGAAATAAATAAATCAAAAATAAATCTCTCTCATTAATTATTCTCTTCAAAATTCCGAGGTGGACTATCCAAAGCAAGGGGCTATTTGCTGGGGTTCATTAACTAAAAGTTGTTTACTACAGCTTTGTAAAAATCCATGCATTCTTCATGCAGAAGAGGTTATTACTCAATTACATATTTTGGAATATTCTGTAGAAAGAGATTTTCATTTTGCTAATTTCCTTGAAGAAATATACATATATATCTTTACATAGTTTTGGGTTATGCACAGTAGTAATATGTAAAAACATACTGTAAAGTCATTTTTAGCAAATATATTCCCAAAAAGGAAAAAAAATTAAGAACAGAAACTTTACTCTCAAGGTAATGGAGTACTATGACTGCATCTGCCATAAAAATAGTGACAGCTCACCCAGAATAATCTCTAATAATGTTGTCATTCCCTTAAAAAAATTCCTTTCTTTTTAATGAATGCTCAATCTTTTAAATTTAGCTTCAGAAATAATACTTCTACTATAATTCCAAAGAATTGCTTAGAAGAGAACCTGTGTGGGAAGAAAAACATTTGGAAATGTATTTCATTTAAGTGTTATTTCACTGCATTATATAACACGAAAGCGTAAATATCAGTGGCTTATGTTTTCCACAAAGTTTACTACTATTACTAGAATGTTCTAGAATGCTTTTCTTTTAAATCGTAACTGAAAAATTGTATGTTATTTCCAAAAACTGTAATTATTCTTAAAAAGAATAATTAATGAACATTATAACCAAGAAGAATTAATATCCTCCTTATCTAAGCAAGGTGCAGTGTTAGATGCTTCTTAAATCATGTTTAATATAGATACGGTATCTGTTCTCCAGGAATCTTCAGTCTCCAGAGTTACTATGCCACCACTGTCTCCCAAACTAACAAAAGCCAATGGGATATCCCCTAAAGTCCATTCCAAATTAGGACATAGCTTCTTGGTTTTAATTAACTTTTATATTTAAAACTCTGTCTTTAAGAAAAATATAGGTGGATCTACAAGCAGTGCTGCATTAAATGAGTCTAACAAATGAACACAGCAGGAGTTGAGGGCTGAAGAGAAGGAAAGGTCAGAGGGAGGACAGTCTTGGTCAGTATTTATAATCTACCTCTGTTACTGGGAACCATATTTCTCCTTTCGTCAGAGACCAACCCAAGGTTGCTATTGTTGCCCAGGGCTTTGTTAAAAGATGGCACATAAAGGCTGCAGAGCCTGAGCAGGCCTGAGGCTACATATTTCGATTTCGTTATTTAAAATTTTATAATTATATTTAAATTTCTTCTTATCTACACTGTTTTAAAATAGCTTTATTCCTCTAATGTATGTTACCTTGATTCAGCATCCCATTCACCTAACCTTGCAATGGGGAGAAATCATACTATTCTGATGTAGCAGAGATTATATTAATTATAACACGGTGGGGAGGAAGTTGTCTTTCTATACAGAGTAATTAACCAGAATTCTGCATATTTTAAAAGCTTTCTGTGTATCAATGTTTTCCATTCACCTCATAATCTTTGTTAAGGATGCACAGCATGGACACGAAACTTAAAAGTGAACAAAGATTTATTTTCTTCAAACATGGGCATATTCAAAGGAAATCGAGTCATTTACTTGCACACAAGCACTTAAACCAATACTCTGAGCACTGCAGTGACAAAGGGGCTCCAAATTACATAGGTCAGTGAAGTAAAAGAAAGCAAAGGCGGCAGAAATCAGTTGCTAGGAATAAAAACAGAAATAGATCCAATGCAGCATTTTGAGAATGAAGATCAATGAAAACAGTTGTTCAATACCATATTACTTATAGCATTATTTTCTATACTATTATGACAGATCCTTTCTTCTCTGCAGGTTCTTGACATTTGTCTTAATAAAAACAATGCTTAAGCCAAAAAATTTTCATTACCTGAAGTAAAAAGGTAATACCTTGCCTTAGTTAAAAAGTACTTAAGTAACATGGTAAAGTGAGAATATATGAGAGAAATATAAATAGCGTGGCAAGGAAAGAGCAGTATCATATTTTATTTACCTATTGATCTAAGTAATAAGGCAGCAGGTTGTCTTTCCGATCAAAACTACTTCTATAAAGTAATACAAATGCCCTTGCTTGCTCCATAGTGAAGGTCTTCAAAAGAACCAACTGAGATGAGGTACAAGAAAATTATGTACTAAAGCATGAGTGAATAATGTATGCTGTCATTTAATGCTATAATTCTCAGAAATTTTACGTAAACAATCTTATTGCTTAATGCTTGTAAGAGCAAGCACAGAATTAATGAGACTGTTAATGTATCAAGTCAATAAGGAAGTAGAGATAATGGCATATATATTTGTTGAGCTTACTCAGTAGAAACAAATGAAATTCAGTGCATAAAGATTTTCTAAAATCCAGCCAGCAGTGCCATAGATAAAAGAACGCAGTGGCTCTCGGTTTGCTTACCGGTAAGAACGGCTTTTGCGGAAGGGTCGGCCAGGTCCAGGGCTGACTTCCCGTCGGTGTTCCGAATGTTTGGATCGGCTCCGTGCTGCAGCAGCACTGTGCAGGGAAAGCAGAAACAGTATCTTACCTCAGGGACACAAAGATTATTTACTGGGAAGTGTCGTCTCGGCATGGTGTAGGCATACACATACATTGCACAATGTTTTTCTCTTTCAAGAAAAAAAAAAGGAGAAAGAAAGAGAAAGAACGGGAAAAAAGCACTGCAGCAAAGGATCCTCTCTAGAGTAAAGCAAAGTTGGCAACTTAGGGTACAGTATCATCACATGACTGAACATCATAAACATGAAACCAGGAAAATCTTGCCACGGACAGTTTGGGTTTGCTGCCTCAGGCAGCAGGACGGGACGCTGTGTGCTCACTGCCTCACACTGTGCAGTAGGCAACCCGTGAACCGGCCCTATCTTTACTACCACTGTGGCTGCTTGTTGCTGCTGCTGCTTTCCAGCTGAATTTCCTAACACTTCCTCTCCTAAGAAGAGTTGTAATACTGTGCAAGCCTTTTAGTGGCTCACCGCTTACATATAAATCTCTCACCCTAACATACTGGCTTGCTTCCAAGAAGTTTCACAGACATAGCAATGCATGCAACTCCGGTCCCCTGCAGTCGAGCTGCAAAAAAGAACTGCCTTCTACAATAATTCTTTCCATCAAAAATGTTTAGAAATAGAAACTCAATCACTGTAATATATGCTAAGGAATAAATGCTGAACATGCTATATTGGGTAGAAAGTAGCTATAGAGAATTCTTAGATATGGGGGCTCCCTAAAGACAATCAATCAATGCTTAAGTAAAATCCAGATATAATCGTTTATCACTCTAAAACATTTCTCAACTACATGTGGTGTGGGGGCAGGGGGAGATGAGAGATGGTGGTGTAGCACTACCCAGCCAATGGTTAAATTGGTAAGTACAATAAAAACTAGTCCAAGTAAGCACAGGTCAGTCACAAGCTATTCTAATAGTTCAAATAGTTGAGATTTTGTGTACTCCTGAAGAGAGCTGCATGTACATTTAAAACAAAGCAAAAATATTCAATTCAAATAAGTATTTAAAAATATGTTACATAATGTCTAAAAACACCTGAGCCACTACCGCTTACGAGTCCCAAATTTTCATTCATTAAGAGTTCCATGCTAAAGTATATACATTCTTTTGGAATATGTGGAAGGCAGTTCTCGGAAGTCCTGCTGTTTATGAAGCTCTTCCTCTTTCTTTAATGCACAAGCCATCTAGTCGATGGCTTTGTTATAACATACAGAGGAAGAGCCCTGTCTAGAATGAGGGCACGTCTGCCGGGGCACCGCTCCTCAGCACTCCTGCATTAAACCACAGGCGCTCTCAGATCTGAGGACATAAGAATTAGCCATGGCTTGCAAAGGTACAGTGAGATTTTGCCAAAACTTTCTACATTATTTTATTCTTAATTAAGCAAGAACATAATTATTTTACAGATGTTTATAAACTGACTCAAGAATAATTACAGCAAGAATAAAAATAGCAGGTGCCAATATCAAACTGTACTTACTCATTCATCATAATGAATAAGCTTTCACAGATATAGATATATATATACCTCTATATGTATATATATATCTGAAAGATATATATTTTATAGATATTTTATTCCAGGAGGAAATCCCAACCTGAAGATTTGGCTTTTAAAGGGTCCTTATCATGAGCAGACTCATGTATCAAAGGTAAAGCTGTGGCTGTCGTTGTATCATGAGAGCAATATATTGCTGAGGGATCACATGCAAAGCCAGGAAACAAAGAATTAACAGCTACCATGGAAAACAGAGGTTTTTACTGCATACATCAAGAAAAAAACCACAATACGTTAATTTACCAAGGCTTGACAATAACATGATGGGGGCTTTTATTTTACAGGTTAATGAGAAAGAGAGAGGCAAAACAGAGAAAGCCTGTTGTTCCTCCAAGTCACGTAGAACCTCAATCTTTTTTGTTGTGACCAGTACTTCATCTACTCTATCATTGCTATTTTGAAACAGAAATATGCCATGAAAGTTTAGTTGCAGTTTCTTTACTTTACGTAATTTTTAAAGAACCATCTTTTTACTAGAAATAATCTGTTTTCTAAACATTTCTGAGTCATACGTAACTCTTTCCTTGGACCTGAACACACAGAAGCATCCACTGCAGAGTAATGTGACAGCAGGGAAGCAGCTGAATTTTCTGAACCACATGCTGATACCAAAATCCACACTAGGAAATATTTACTGATTTCTAATTCACCAGATATGTGTTTAAAAAGCAAAACAAACAAACAAAAAACCCTGAAAATAGAGTTGAGTTTTAGGAGCAAGAATGGTATCTAAACCTAGACCATAGGGATATAAATTTATCTAACTTTTATATAAGATTACTAAGAGGATTAAATAAGAACAAAAGTGGCAGAATATGTATCAGCTAATAATATTTAAAACACATTTATGAAATGTAGACTGTTTGTACTCTCACCTCTACCACTAACTACTAATTTTGTCCTGAAGCCATATCTTCATATCTTTCCATTTTTGTAAAGTGCCATATAGTAAGTATGTTAGTCTTTGTAGATCATAGAGTCTCCTCAACCGCTCATCCCTGCCCCCACCCCAGCAGTACAGAGGAAAACGCAGCCACAGACAACACTAAAAGGATGGCTGTGGCTGTGGTTCCAAAACAATTTTATTGAAACACACTGAAATATGAGTTTTATATAATTTTCATGTGTCATAAGACATTATTATTGTAAATTTTAAAAAAGCATTTAAAAATGTAAAAACAATTCTTAGCTTGCAGGACACACAAAGAACAAGTGCCGAGTCAGATTTGGTCTACAGACCATACTTTGCCAACCCCGGCCTTGGCAGTGATACACACAGCGAAGTCTATGGACTGTTCTAGTCCCAGAATGCTTTGTAATCCATCCACACTGAGATAAACAAAGAATTAAGAGGAAGCATTTAGAAGTATATATGTCATTTTTAGATTATATTCTCCGATACTTCATTTTTATCATAGTTTACAAACTGACTGGCCTGTCGTGAACAGGGCAGAAGTAGCCTGGCTCTCCACCAAAGACGGTATGCAAAGCTCTGAGCCAGGGCACCTGCCAATTCTCTGGGCTTCGGTTCCCGGGTCTCTGAAGTGAAAGGAGCCGGTGGGGGTAGGTGATTTCCAGACAACTGGCGGGGGCGGGGGGGGGGGGCGGCTCAAATCCCCCATAATGCTTTTAGAGTTATGGCCAAAACCCTGAAGCATTGTGATCTAAGTTCTTTAAAAAAAAGGGGGGGGGGGGGTATCTTCTAATACCGGAAGAAGAGCACATACATGGGGCAAAGGTAACAGCAGCAAAGGCTTTCAAGAACATCAGTATGTCTCTGAGGTGGCAAATAGGACTCTTTATTCTGGATGCTTCAATATATGCTTTAAGAGTTCTTAACTACTGAATGGAATAATAAAATGTGACTACTAACACATACTATAATTAGAAATTCATTTTGTAAAACCAATATACATTGACAGCACACAAACATAAAACAAATTCTTTTAAAGTAGCACAAATATGTGAAGCAAAATTCCTAAAATATGCAAATATACAGAGTAAAATTTGAAAGAAAAACAAGGAAATTAAAATGTGAGTAACATTCAGTACATAAATTCAAGACTAGTGTGGGTATTCAAATCTCCTTGTACTATCTCTTTATACCAGTAAGGCCATTATCAGACCTCAAATCTCAAACAACTTGGCTATATCCAGTTGTTCTACTGATGCATCTCAGATCCATTTATCTCCTTTTGATATGGGAAGGATAGAGAAAATATAGCAGCTGATATAAAAATTGATTGTTAAAACTAAGGTAGGATAACAATATTCAAAATGTCACTCTCAAAAAGTGCTTATGGCAAGAAGGACATGTGATTCTCCTATTTCTGCTGCAGATGTTTAGCTATAGTGAGCCAGATTCAGAAAGCATGTCTTTAGCCTGTGACCAATGCAGCAGAGACTAAAACTATTTCATTTAATTCCTCAAAACTATTAAATTTAAGCATTCACATCATTTTAGTTCTTCCAGATAAAAATATTTTTCCATATATTCAAAGTTTCATCCTGTTAAACTCCTAGAAATATACAAAGTGCTATATGATAAAATGCACTTAACTTATAAGAACATTATTAACTGATTTAATAAGACAGAATAAAAATAATATGAACTTCCCAAATAAAAACAGTATGAACTTCCCAAATTAAAAATGCAGCAAGTCTATTAGGTAAATTATCAAAATGGGTTTTTAGCATAGTTTTCACTTTAAAATACTGTCAAATCTTTGTTCTGTGAATTTTAGAGCTACATTAATGGTCTAAAACTGCTCCTCACAATGAAAATTTTTAAAAGAAGTTGTATTTATGTTAAAATGTTTTCCAAGAATAGTCATCTTACTCTTTAAGAGTGTAGACATATTCATTTGACCGAGTTTTAAAAATTCAGTCACACAAAGGACCAAGTTCAACAGATATGTTAGCAAATAAGATTATTTTTAAAGCAAAATATCAAGGGATCACTATGTTACAGGAGTTTCAAAAACATCTTGGGCTTTCCACAAAATGCGATAAAGCATAAAACCAAACCTCTAAAAGCTCAAGGTGATTTGTCAGCAATTGAACTCTGCTAAAACAAGAATAAATATTTTTCAGAGGAAGGTTAAATGAAAATAACACTGCAGAGTCTCTACAATGTATATTAAATGCAAAATTATTAGACATATAAAGAAAAAGGAAAATGTGACCCACAGTCAAGAACAACAAAAAGCGGTCAAAAGAAATCAAATCTAAGATGGCTCACATGTTAGACTTAAGAGACAAAGACTTTAAACCAACTATTATAAATAAGTTCAAATATTTACAGGAAAATATGGCATGAAGAAGTAACAGAGAAAAATATTCTAAGAACCAAGTGGGAATTTTTGACCTGAAAAGTTGAAGGAATCGCGCTACTTAAGATTTATTATAAAGCTATAGTAATTGAGAGTATAT